ATAATACTTCTTAATATGTTAAGGGAGGAGCTCTGGTGGCACTGTGGTTAAAGCACTTAGCTGTCGACCAAAAGGTCAGGGATTCAAACCCACCGTTTCACGGGAGAAAGATGTGGCAATCTGCTTCCGTAAAGATTTACAGACTTAGAAACCTTGTGGGACAGTTTTGCTCTGTTACATAGGGTCACTGTGAGTCAGAAACTGCTCCACAGCAGTGGGTTTGGTTATGCTGAATATGCTAAGCGAAGTCCTTTCATGTTGTTTTTCATCAGGAGTATTTAAACATTCTTATTCTTGGCTCTTTGAAATTTGCATAAAAATTTGAATCAGTTTATCATGTTCCACAAGAAAAAATTTTTTTTTATTTCGATTAGAATTACATTGAGTCAACATCATTTTGGGGAGAAGTGATGTTTTATCATATTGAATTTGTAGTCTGTGAACCTAGTATTTCTATTTTTTAAAGTTCTTTAATGTCTTTGAAAATTTTTACTAATGTGCTTTATAAAGGGCTGTCTATCTTTGGTTAGATCTATTCATAAGAATTTTTTTTAAAATACTGTTACAAATGGCTTTTTTTTTTTTAATTTAAAATTTTATTGTGGTGAAATACATATAACAAAAACATTTGCCCTTTCAACCATTTTTTGTGTGTACAATTCAGTGGCATTGATTATATTCACTATGTTGTGTAACCATCGCCATTATTTATTTCCAAATTTTTTCATCACCTTTAACAGAAGCTCAGCACCCCTTAAGCAAGGACTCCCTATATCCCCCTTCCAGCCACCCCTGGTAACCACTAATAAACTTTGGTATTTACCAAACTTGGATATTTCATGTAAGTGGGGTCATGTAATATTTGTCATTTTATGTCTGACTTATTTTACTCAGCATAATGTTTTCAGGGTTCAACTATGTTGTAGCATGCATCAACTTCATTTCTCTTTCTGGCTGAGTAATATTCCATTGTACATATACATTTTGTTTTTATCTATTCATCTGTTGATGGATACCTGGGTTGTTTCTACCTTTTGGCTATAGTGAGTAGTATTGCAGTGAACATTGGTGTACAGGTATCAGTTTGAGTCCTTTCGGTTCTTTTGGGTATATACCCAGGAGTGCAGTTGCTCAGCCATATGGTAGTTCTGCGTTTAACTTTTTGAGGAACCACTAACCTATTTTCCAGTGACTGCACCTTTTTTACAGTCCCACTAGTGATGTACAAGGGTTCCACTTTCTCTACACCCTTAGCAACACTTCATATTTTTCATTTTTCTGATAATAGCCATCCTAGTGGAGGTGAAGGGGTATCTCATTTTTTTATTTTGTATTTCTCCATAACTAATGAAGTTGAGCATCTTTGCATGTGCTTATTGGCCATTTGTATATCTTCTCTGGTGAAATATCTATCCCAGTCCTTTGCCCTTTTTTTTATTTGGTTGATTGTCTTTTTGTTGTTAAAGTTGCAAATGATGTATTTTTAATAATATATTTTCCATCTGTTCATGGATTGAAGAAATCGTTTGTTAAACTGGTGTTCACATCTGTGAACCTTGTGTAGTTATTTGGGTTTTCTGTATATAAACAAGTATACCATTGGTGATTAAAAGGCTTTTCTACCATTAAACCTGCCCATTGAATTTTAAGTTTTAGTTATTTTTCATATCTGGAAGTTCTGTTTGGTTCATTTTCAAATCTGCTGATTGCCTCCTCTTTTCAAGCTTCTCTTTTATTTATTTTAAAGTATTACACATTGTTATTTGTTTTCTAGTTTTTTTTATTGTACTTTAGATGAAGGTTTACAGAGCAAATTGTTTCTCATTAAACAACTAATACACATATTGTTTTGTGGCACTGGTTGCCAGCCCTGTTGACATGTCAGCACTCTACCCTTCTCGACTTTGGGCTCCCCTTTTCCATTCGTCCAGCTTTCCTTTCCCCTTCTGCTTTCTCATCTCTGCCCCTGGGCTCATGTGCCCATCTAATCTCATATACCTGATTGAGCTATGTGTATTGTTGTTTCTTTTATGGGCCTGTCTAATCTTTGGCTGAAGGGTGAACTTGAGGAGTAACCTCAGTACTGAGTTAAAAGGGTGTCCTGGAGCCATGCTTGGGGTTTCTTCAGTCTCTGTCAGATCAGTAAGTCTCGTCCTGTTTTGTGAGTTTGAATTTTGTTCTACATTTTTCTCCCGCTCTGTCCATGACCCTCTATTGTGATCCCTGTCGGAGCAGTAAGTGGTTGTAGCTAGGCACCATCTATTCGTGCTGGGATCAGTCTGATGGAGGCTTTGGTAGTTGTGGTGCATTAGTCCTTTGGACTAACCTTTCCCTTGTGTCTTTGGTCTTCTTCAGTCTCCTTTGTTCTAGCCAGGATGGGACCAGTAGATGTATCTTAGATGGCCGCTCTCAGGCTTTTAAGACCCAAGATCTCACCACAGTCAGATGTAGAACATTTTCTTAATAGACTATGTTATGCCAGTTGAGCTAGATGTTCCCCAAGCCCATAGTCCCCAGCCCTCAGCCCAGTAGCTCAGTCCCTCAGGGCATTTGGATGTGTCTTTGAAGCTTTTATGACTGCCCTGGTCAAGTTGCGCTGACTTACCCAGTGCTGTGTACTGTCTTACCCTTCACCGAAATTACCGTGTATCTACTATCTAGTTAGTTTTTCTCTCTCTACTACTCCCCTCCCTTATAACCATCAAAGATTGTTACTTTCTGTGTGGAAACATTTTCATGTGTTTTTAGAATAGTGGTCTTATACAGTATTTGTCCTTTGGTGATTGACTTATTTCATTCAGCATAATGTCCTCCAGATTCATTCATGTTGTGAGATGTTTCGCAGATTCATCATTTTTCTTTATTGTTGTGTAGTATTCCATTGTGTGTATGTCCATAGTTTGTGTATCCATTCATGTGTTCAAGGGTACTGAATGTTTTTGCTATTGTAAATAATGCTGCAGTGAACCTGGGTGTGCATATGCCTATTCACGTGACAGCTCTTATTTCTAGGATACGTTCCTAGGAGTGGGATTGCTGGATTGTGTGGTATTTCTGTTTCTAGCTTTTTAAGGACACACTATATTGTTTTCCAAAATGGTTGTACCATTTTTCATTCCCACTAGCAATGCATAAGAGTTCCAGTCACCCCACAACCTCTCCAGCATTTGTTATTTTGTGGTTTTTTGATCTGTGCTACTAATGGTGGGGTGAGATGGTATCTCGTAGTTTTGATTTGCATTTCTCTAATGGCTAGTGATGTCGAGCATTTCCTTGTGTCAGTTAGCTGCCTGAATATTTGATGAAGTATCTGTTTATATCCTTTGCCCTTTTTTTAACTGGATTGCTTGTCTTTTTATTGTAGAGGTGTTGGATTTTCCTATAGATTTTAGAGATTAGACGTTTGTTGGGTATATCATAGCCAAAAGTTTTTTCCTGGTCGTAGGTTCTCTTTTTACTCTTTTGGTGAAGTCTTTTGATGAGCCTAAGTGTTTAATTTTTAGGAGATCCCATTTATCTAGCTTAGGTTCTGTTGTTTTTTATTGTTAATTATGGTTGGTATGCTGTTTGTGCCATATATTAGGGCCCCTAGTGTTGACCCTATTTTTTCTTCCATGATCTTTATAGTTTTTGGTTTTATATTTGGGTCTTTGATCCATTTTGAATAAGTTTTTGTGTATGGTGTGAGGTATGGGTCCTGTTTGATTTTTTTTCACAGATGAACATCCAGATTTGCTAGCACCATTTGTTAAAAAGACTGTCTTTTCCCCATTTGATGGACTTTGGACCTTTGTTGAAGATCAGGTGACCATAGGTGGATGGATTTACATCTCAGTTCTCGAGTCTGTTCCGTTGGTCAATGTGTCTGTCATACGAGTACCAGGCTGTTTTGACTACCGTAGCTGTATAGTAGGTTCTGAGGCCAGGTAGTGTGAGGCCTCCTACTTTCTTCGTACTCTTCAATAATGCTTTCCTTTCCATATAAAGTTAATGATTAATTTTTCCATCTCATTAAAGAATGCTTTGGTATTTGGATCGGGATTACGTTGTATTTGTAGATTGCTTTGGGTAGAATCGACATTTTCACAACGTTGAGTCTACCTATCCATGAGCATGGTGTGTTTTTCCATTTATGTAGGTCTCTTTTGATTTCTTGCAGTAGTGTTTTGTAGTTTTCTTTGTATAGGTCTTTAACGTTCCTGGTTAGATTTATTCCTGAGTATTTTTTTTTTAAGGGGCTATTATAAATGGTATTGCTTTCTTGATTTGTTTTTCATAGTACTCTTCATTGTTGTGTAGGAATCCAACTGATTTTTGTATGTTTATCTTGTATCTTGCTACTTACTGTACTGAATCTGTTAGTTCCAGTAGTTTTCTTGTGGAGTCTTTTGGGTTTTCTATGTATAGTATGATATCATCCACAAATAGGGATAGCTGTACTTCTTCCTTACCAATTTGAATGCCCTTTATTCTTTTTCTTGCCATATTCCTCTAGCTAGGACTTCCAGCACTATGTTAAATAGAAGTGATGATAAAGGGCATTCTTGTCTTGTTCCTGTTCTCAGGGGGAATGTTTTCAGCCTCTGTCTGTTGAGAATAATGTGGCTGTTGGTTTTGTATAGATCACCCTTTATTATGTTGAGGAATTTCCCTTCTGTTCCTATTCTATTGAGAGTTTTTATCGGGAATGGGTGTTGGACTTTATCAAATGCCTTTTCTGCATTGATTGAGATGATCGTGTGATTCTTTTCTTCTGTTTTATTTATGTAGAAAAAGTGTTTTTATGTTTTTTCAAATATTTTAAGTTATTTTCACCAGGAGTATAAGTCAGGGTAATGACTTCACCATACTCTGGAAATACATATATTATTTCACTATGTTGTTTCTCATTATTTTGGAAAGAAAATTTGGGATTAAACAAGTGCATTATAATTTTTATGAAAATGAAATGGAGAATAGCCTTTTATAGCTGCTAATTAAAGATATTTCTTTTTTTATAGGTGTCAGCTGTGATGCATGTTTAAAAGGAAATTTTCGAGGTCGCAGATACAAGTGTTTAATTTGCTACGATTACGATCTTTGTGCGTCTTGTTATGAAAGTGGTGCAACAACAACAAGGCATACAACTGACCACCCAATGCAGTGCATATTAACGAGGGTAGATTTTGGTAAGTATTGAGTTACAATTTTAATAAATTATGATTTAGAACTTTGTGTATATGTGTGTGGAGAAACAAAGGAGAATATTCTAAAACTACCCCCAATATCATACGACGCCTCAATTCATTAAAAATAAAACGAATCTCCTTTTTATGTTCTAAGTAATTCTTTCTCTTAATCACAGTTTACTTGTTTATGAAAACTGTTCAGAAATATACTCAGCTGACAAGGCATGAAATGGAAAAGTGCCTCAATAAAAAACGAATAAAGTTAAACTGACTATTCTTGCTAACAATACGTAAGTACAAGTTCTTGTTCTAGTTACCAGAAAACAGGTTGTTTTTACAGTTGATTAGAAGACATTGTGTATCCTTAAGAAAAGCTATAAACGTTTTACACTGTAATTTCTTACTCCTATTAATCTCTGTAACACTCTTAACAAGAATGGAAGATGATTAGTATTTCTCATACTTCTGTGAGACAGGCTAAAATCTGCGTGTAAAAAATATTACGGCTAAAAGTAAAAATCAGAGCATTTTAAGATTTTGCAGTTGTAAAGGTCTTAATCAGACCAGAATTATACAGTCATAGAATCCCAAGAAAGGGACCTTAAAGATCTTTAAGACCAGTGGTTCTCTAAGCCACTCCTTACCTCCGTATATAATATACCTGGATAGATAAACTAGATGATGGATAGAAGGATGGATGGATGGATGGATGGATGGGACTCAGAACCTTCAAAAACAGGACTTTAGAATCTGTATTTTTTAGAGTAGTTTTAGGTTTACAGAAGAATTATACAGGAAGTACAGAGAGTTCCTATATACTCCCTCTCTTCTGACATTATTTCTCCAATTAACATCTTGTATTCTTGTGATCCATTTGTTACAATTGATAAACCAATTATTGATTAATTGTTATTAATGAAAGTCCATATTTTACATTAGGGTTCACTCTGTCTTGTGTAGTTCTGTGAATTTTAACAAATGTATAATATCCTTTATTTAGCATTATGGTATACCGAATAGTTCCACTGCCTCCAAAATAGCTTGTACTTCACCTATCCATCCCTCCCTCTTCCTCTAACTCCTCATCTTTTTCACTGCCTCTATAGATTTGCCTTTCCAGATAGTTGGGGTTCAGTGGTAGCATTCTCGCCATCCATGTGGGAGACGCAGGTTTGATTCCCAGTCAGTGTACTTCATGTGCAGTCACCACCCACCTGTCGGTGGTTTGCATGTTGCTATGATGCTGAACAGGTTCAGCAGAGCTTCTAGACTAAGGCAGGCTAGGAAAAAAGGCCTGGTGATCTACTTCCGAAAATCATCCAGTGAAAATCGTGTGGATCACAATGGTCCAGTCCACAATTGATTATGGGGATGGTGCAGGGCCAGGCAGCATTTCGTTCTCTTGTGCATAGGGTCACCATGAGTTGGGAGGCCAACTCAATGGCAGCTAACAACAACAACACAGCTATGCCTTTTCCAGAATTCGTATAGTTGGAGTCATACAGTATATATCTTTTTTGTACTGGCTTTTGTACTATGCATTGAAGGATGTGAGTCCTTTATCAGATATGTGTTTTGCAAATAGCAAGGACTGGGGCATGTTGAAAGGGGACAAAAGTCAACCTGAACTCCCAGTTCAAAGCTGGGAAAATCTGAGCAACAAGATAAATGACAATAGTGCTGAATTACAACTTAAAGAATAAAATAAGTATCTTTGAGCCTATAGTGATATAAATAAATCAGTGAGGAAAAAGAGACAGCTCTTGAATTCTAATTAATAAATGTAGAAGAAATGAAGGAAATAAAAGATAACCATTAGAACACCATAGCAATTATTGCTGCAGGTAAAATCTACCAGTGGACAATTAGTGGGCAAAAGTTTGAGGAGAAACAGGATATATGCATACTCTCAAAATATCTCCCTCAAAATAAATATTTAGTAATTACAAAGGGAAAAATAGTAACTTAACAGTGGAGAAACCAATACCAATTTAACCAAGAGATCGAGTTTGACATCACCAGTAATAAGATTTATCAAATCAACATCATGTACCGAGGATATGATGCATTGAGAAGGGCACATCACCTCTGGTATTCTTCCCAGTAATGCATAACCTCAATCTAATCATGAGACATTAGAGAAGCCCACATCGAGGGACATTCTATAAAATAACTGACTACTACTCTTCAAAAGTCTAAAGATCATGGAAAGATTAAGGAACTTTTACAGACTGGAGGAGACTAAGATGACGTGACAGCCAAATGCAGTGCAGGATCCTTGATTCAATCCTGGAATAGAAAAAGAACATTAATGGGAAAACTGAACAAATTTGAATAAAGTCTAATTTAATAGTATGGTACCAATGTCAATTTCATAATTTTGGTAATTGTTTCGCGACTATGTAAGATGTTGACATTAGGGGAAGCTGGATGACGGGTATACTGGAACTCTGTACTATTTCTGGAACTTTAAAATCGTCTCAAAATTAAAAGCTTTAAAAAAGCATACATTGTTGTTAGGTGTTGTGGAGTCGGTTCTGACTCATAGCGACCCTGTGTATAACAGAACGAAACACTGTCTGGTCCTGCGCCATCTTCATAATCGTTGCTCTTTGAGCCCATTGTTGCAGCCACTGGGTCAGTCTGTGGGGGTCTTCCTCTTTTTCGCTGACCCTCTAGTTTACAAAGCATGATGTACTTCTCCAGGGACTTGGTCCCTCCTGATAACATGCTCAACAAAGTATGTGAGATGAAGTCTCACCATCCTCACTTCTAAGCAACAATTCCACTGTACTTCTTCCAAGACAGATTTGTTCATTCTTCTGGTAGTCCATGATGTATTCAGTATTCTTTGCCAGCACTGTAATTCAAAGGCAGCAATTCTTCTTTGGTTTTTCTTATTCATTGTCTAGCTTTCACATGCATATGAGGCGATTGAAAAGACCATGACTTGGGTCAGGTGCACCTTGGTCCTCAGAGTGATATCTTTGTTTCTGAGCACTTCAGAGAAGTCTTTGTGCAGATTTTCCTAATGCAATGCATCGTTTGATTTCTTGACTGCTACTTCCATGGGCATTGATTGTGGATCCAAGTAAAATGAAATCCTTGACAGCTGCAGGATTTCTGTTCATCATGTTGCTTATTGGACCTGTTGTGAGGATTATTGTTTTCTTTATGTTAAGCTGTAATCCATACCAAAAAAAATATAGTTAGATTTAATTCATACTCATCTGTTAATATCTGTCTTTTAACTGGAGAATTTAGTCCATTTATATTCATAGAGATTAATGATATAATTGAATTTATTTATGCCATCTTAGTGTATTTTCTATTTGTCTTGGTTTGTCTATTTCCATTTTTTTCTACCACTTTATCCATCTTCATGTATACTAAGCCTAAAGTAATCAGGATCTTCATCCTCTTCTCAAACAACATAAGAACCTTAGCATGCTTTAACTTAATTTTGCATCTAAACTTAGTTCTTGTATGCCCCCCCTACATTTGCTGTAATTTGATAGTATTGTTAGTGCTGTTTTACACATCTTATACAGTCCTCTTACCTGCATATTTACCAATATCATTGCTTACCATTCTGTCTCTTTTTTTTAAATTGTGCTGTAGTTGAAAGTTTACAGAGCTAATTAGTTTCTCATTCAAAAACTTATACACAAATTGTTTCATGACATTTGTTGCAATCTCCACTTTGTGTCAGCCCTCTCCTGCTTTTCGTTTTCCACCTCGGGTTTCCCAGTTCCATTCGTCCAGTTTTCCTGTCCCTTCCCACCTTCTCTTTGTTTTTGGGCAGATGTTGCCCATTTGGTCTTGTATACGTGTATACTTGATTGATTCCTCACCTATGTTATTGTTTGTTTTATAGGACTGCCTAGTCATCGTGTAGTATTCCACTGTGTGTGTGTACCACAGTTTGTTAATCCATTCATCTGTTGATGGGTACTTAGGTTGCTTCTACCTTTTTGCTGTTGTGAATAGTGTTGCAGTGAACGTGGGTGTGCATATGTCTATTTTTGTCACAGCTCTTATTTCTTTAGGGTATATACCTAGGAGTGGGATTGCTAGATCATACCGTGTTTCTATTTCTAGGTTTTCGAGGAAGTGCCATATCGTTTTCGATAGTAGTTGTACCATTTTACATTCCCACTAGCAGTGTATAAGAGTTCCAATCTCCCCACAACCTCGCCGACATTTGTTATTTTCTGTTTTTTTTTTTAGTTTTTTTTTTGATTAGTGCCGGTAATGTCGGGGTGAGGTGGTATATCATTATAGTTTTGATTTGCACCTCTCTAATTGCTAATGATGTGTTTGTTAGCAGCCTGCGTGTCTTTTTTGGTGAAGTGTCTGTTCATACCCTTTGCCAATTTCTTAACTGGATTATTTGTCTTTTTTTTTTGTTGAGGTGTTGTTTTCTATAAATTTTAGAGACCAGACCCTTGTCAGATATGTCATAGCCAATTTTTTTCCCCCAATCTGTAGGTTCTCTTTTTACTGTTTTGAAGAAGTCTTTTGTTCAGCGTAAGTGCTTAATTTTTAGGAGATCCTATGTATCTAGTTCTGTGTGTGTATTTTTAGTTACATTTAATATTCTATTTATGCCATTTATTAGGGCCTCTAGTATTGTCTCCAGTTTTTTCTTAGTATTGTACCTATTTTTTCCTCCATCATCTTTATAGTTTTAGGCTTTATATTTAGGTCTTTGATCCATTTTAAGTTAGTTTTGTGTACGGTATGAGGTATGGATCCTGTTTCATTTTTCTACAGGTAGATGTCCAGTTTTGCCAGCACCATTTGTTGAAGAGACTGTCTCTTCCCCATTCAGTAAACTTTGGTTTTTGTTGAAGATCAGCTGCCCATAAGTGGATGGATTTACATCTGGGTTGTCAATTCTGTTTCACTGATCTGTGTGTCTGTTGTTGTACCTGTACCAGGCTGTTCTGACTACCATGGCTGTATAGTAGGTTCTGAGATCAGGTAGTGTGAGGCCT